CACTAATGTAAACCGACAGCCAGTGGGGCCAACTACGTGTCAACGTTTGTCTCATTCTGCGGTTTAACTTTACATTTTGCATTTAATGGAAGCATATTGGTGAGAGTAATTGACCTTAAACATTTTATCATCATATTTTCGTCATTGTTGCTGTCATCATTATGATCAGCATCATGAAACTTAAGCAAAACGAGATTTAAACCTTTGTTCCTAAACCCATCCTTTCGTCAAAGATGTTACATAAAGTCTATGACTGTAAGGACTCAGTTGCAAATAGNATAGAAAAAAAAAAATCCCGCCGTGAGCGTCAAGAGGCTTGGCGCCAAGACGAACTGAATGGCGGTAAACTGCCAGTCATGAACCAACTCTGACCCTGACTTTCAGATGGAGAAATTCTGAGTCCGAAGTAAGTGGTAACCTATGGTAGCCAGACGCGGTTAGAAGAGAATTGCTAGAAGTTGCGTCTATGATGAACTATCAGACAGTCAGCAGCCAGTAAGAACGAGAACACGAAGGCTGATGAATCTGTATTGTTGGGAACCGTTCCGAGGAAACGCCTGGGGAACCCGCAATAGACTTAGCACTTCCTATAACGAATTGCAACTTGTGTGAATTAGCGACATAGCTATAATTACGTGAAGTTATGATTTATAAGATTCCAATATATCCAATAAGCAGTCCAAATCCAGCATCTGGTCACTAGACACGTGCCAGTATCTTCATTCTAATTGTTTAGCTCATATTCCATTAAAGCTTTGACATTTTGTTCGTCTCCAAGTTGTTTGTCTTTCGGGATTTTGCGAAGTGAGGTTCTCACAGAAGTAGTTGTGAAGAGTTCCATCTTCTGGAATATAATGCCCTGAGTGAGTATGCTGTAAGTTCGCCGACGTTTCGGAAGAAAATTCCAACTCAAGCTTCGGGATTTAAGTTAGCTATACAAGAAAATAACATCGTCCGGATGATGGGCAAAGTAAATTTAAAATGTAGTCCCGAATGCATAAGCAAATAGAATTTCAACTATCCGCTGTTCCGGAAAGATATTGGAAGCAGTATAAATATGGCGGATAATTTTTTCAATTAAATGCTTTCCTCTATACAACTGCCATTGCCTATTAAATACACATGTATATACAAATAATAGCCGGTCACGGTAGCCGAGTGGTCTAAGGCATACACTGTCTTCGCTCGCTCGGAAGCCGAGATCGTGGGTTCGAATCCCACTCATGGCATGGATGTTTGTGTGCATTTTTCTGTCTTTGTGTACAGGTAGAGGCCTTGCGACGAGGTGATCACTCACCCAAGCAGTCCTACTGAATGTGTAAGATCTAGAAAAACCGAAGTGAAAGGAGAAGTTCATGGGGGTAGGCCTAGGCCCACTGGGGCTGTAGTGCCAAGGGGGAAAAATTATACAAGTAATATATTCTGCTTATTAAAGTTAATAACTAACTTCATATACATGTATAAGCGGTAGAGTGACGAGTTAAAATTAAACTTGTTCTAAAAATGGCTACTTCTCTTTTAAAAATGTGTGTTTTAAAATGTAGGTTAATTAAGAACATAACAACATGCATTTGCAATATTTTGATTTTGTCTGACGAGCGGCTCTTAAAAAGGAAATACTTGATGACTCATCAGGCTAGAGCATACCATAAAATCAGTGTAAAATACTGGGATTATATTTAGCATAAAATTCGAATGTAAAAATATACATGAAGTGCAATTGAAATAGTTTGAACTGTACCTTTAAGCATTACAGACGTGTGTTATTCCTGTCGGATTCCAAGGCTCTGCAGAAGTACACGTCACTACCGGTACTTAAATGCGGCAACACTGGGGTGTACATTACACCACTGTAGGGTACCTCTTGTTCTTTGATTAAATTAATTAATTAAATTAAATTAAATTAAGACGTTTGTTAGACCTTGGTAATTCTTCAGTTTCTTGATCTTTTACACTGTCGGTAGGACTTCTTGAACGAGGAGCAGGCCCTTCGCAAGGCCTCTGTCTACACACACAACAACACAAATACAAAATATACGGGCACAGACATCTATGCCTCGAATGGGATTCGAGCCCAAATGTCAGTGTTTGAGCTGTCGAGAACGGTTCATGCCTTAGACCGCGCGGCCACTCTGATCGTAGTGTCATATTATATGAGTTATATGTTCAATCCTGTATTTAAGCATCCGGTTGCATTACTATATATAAAACTGTTTATGTACTACACATTCTTCCAACAACGCAACAAATTGTTCCTTCTTTCTTAAACTTTCATTTCCGTCACAAAATGCTTCGGCCCTAAATGGCCATCTTCAGGTGTCCTACTATGCTAAATCAGCTACACTGCAATAATATTGTCCATTTGTCGCATATGCGCCTGCGCGCTTCATGATTTAAAATGTTATACTCGTAGTCAATTGTTATGCTCTAAAATAAAACATCTGTAGTTCACTTAATTTAAATCAATAAAATCTATTAGAATTATCTTTAAATTTTGTAAAATTCTTATTACATCTCACAAGGAGCGTCGTCCACTTGTGTTGATCTGTATCCTTTACTTCAGATGTTTTATTGCGGCAACCTGTTTTTCTGTTCGTAAACATGTTGTTGTGTTACGTCTGCAATCCGTAATCTGCAAGATGCCACATGTTAATACTGTTTCTGATGTTATTACTAGTGTTATGTTGTGTTATTATATTTGTTTACTTTATACTTACTTTGCCTTTGCTTGTGCGTTGTTCCCTCCAGCAGCGTGGGGTGTTGTCCTCACTTATGTAGATGAGGTTTGCTTGCTTCCGTATTGATACGTGCCGTGGTTGTGGAGGGGCATGTGGGGGAGGGGCTATACTGTTATTTTGTGTAATTCTTCAAATATGGGATTATGTGTATCAATGTTATTGTCACTCATACGTGTATTTAGATTTTTCCTACTGATTTCGTAAATATGACATGTTTCATTTTCCTTTTCTCCCTGTTGTTACAATTTCCTTTCTGTCCGCTATTGCGCCGTATGCACGTCCGGTGTTAGTACATGATTTGAATATCTTTTCTTCTGGCTTTCAAACCAATATCCTATATGCGTTCTTCTTCTCCATTCGTGCTACATGCCGTGTCCATCCCACTCTCCTCGAATTGATCATTCTAATTACCGTATTTACGCATATATAGGCCGCGTGCGTGTATAGGCCGCAGCACAATTTTCAGACAGAAATTATAGAAAAAATAATTTTCTTGGAATATTATTTCAGGAGTAGAACACCCTGTATTACTAATTATGAATATATTTTTTTAAATGAAGTGTGATTTCGAATATTTCGAATATAAGCCGCACCCCAGTTTTCCTCTTGAATTTTTGGCAAAAAATGTGAGGCCTATACATGCGTAAATACGGTATACTTCAGAGTAGAATTTATGAAGTTCCTCGTTATGTAGTTTTCTCCAATCTCCCCTCACTTCACCTCTCTTCAGTCCAAATATTCTCCTCAGCACTCTGTTCTCAAACACCCTCAGTCTATGTTCCTCCCTTAATGTCAGAGATATTATAAACAATATTTGATACTTTTATATTTGCATATTTTAGTGTTTGGGACACTATACTACAAGCCATTAAGTTGCGTGTTCGATTCCTGGTAAGGTTATTGGATCTTACAGTTGGTCTAATTCTTCCAGGCGTACTGTTGCCCTGGGGTCGACTCAGCCCTTAACCAAAATGAGTACCAGGAATATACCTGGGGGTAAAGGGCCGCCGGCACGTAAGGCTGATAACCTTACCGCTATCTGTGAGCCGATTGTCTATAAAATGTGGGAACCTCGACGTCTCATAACCCTATGAGCCTCCACGGCCTGTTGTAAGGATAACTTTTACATTAGATTTATGTTTTAATATTACAACTACCAGAAGCGCAAGATCATTGCTCTAATATGTAAATGACAGGCATAAAATGCACGAATATGTAAACACTGACCAAGTTAAGAAATCAGCACCTAAGGACAGTACCTGACGATGACCGAAAGGTTGAAACATGCTGTAAACCTTTAACGAATAATATATCGATACAAAAATGTGTTGACAGAGCCAAGTAACAAAATTATTTGCAGTTCGCCATGTTTCTTAATATTCATTGTATTTATATTACGATTAAAACCTTGATTTCTTATCAGCCACATGTGTGAAGGCCCGCCGTTCTGTCTCTCTTATTCGCTTTGATTGATCACCGTAATCAGAGTTGGTGTAGGGTACAGACTATGAAGCAATTTTCTACCCTCCCTTCGTTACTCCCAGCCATTTTTTCCGTCCAGATATTAACCTCAGCCCCTTGTGCTCAAATTCTCTCGATCCGCGATTTATAAACATCTTATTATTATTAAAAAAAAATATTTTATTTAAAATATATTACACAGAACAGACAATTTGTAATATAGATGTGTTTCTCAGTGTCCACGAATTCATCAGATCCCTCACTTAAACACATTTAGAAGGAAATTGTGGCCGCGCCATAGCTCAAGCGGTTNAAAAGAAATAAAAAAATATAAGGAAATTGTTTTGTTACTTTGTTAGGCTGTGTCTCACAGCAAACAAGAGCTCCAAGTTACATAACCGATTCCGATGAACCTCTGTATAACGGGCGGACCGTAAATTTTATCTTCTTAATTTTCGTTTATTTTATTTTAAGGACCTCTTTGTTCAACAGTATAAATTGACTTTCACATTGTCTTCTATTGGTATACGAAAGCTACCTAACAAATTCCATTGAGTTGAGTCCTACGGAAGCTAAGAATTCCTTAGCTATCGAAATATTTCCAGCATTTTGTGGAACCTGAATTTCATTGTCTTATTCATATAAGCCAGATGAGCCCAACCCATAATCTCCCATCGCATTTCTTTAATATCAATTTCAGTATTATCCTATTACATTCTTCTAGGTCCTGCTATATCATATTTTCGCAAACAGACACGTAGCAGCATGCTGATATTTGTGCTTATGTTCTGGTTATTTCAGACAATCTGGTGTTTCATCTTGACTCCCCGTCCTGGTGATGGATTTGATAAAAGTGCCTGGTTTTGGTGATGGGAACTAACAACTTCGCCACATGTAACATCTGAATTCCCTCCCTGGATTCATCAGAGAGATCGTTGACGCATTGTGGTAACAGCGCCTTGCGTCATAAGTCTTGGTCACTCCAACGTCAAAACCGCATTCTACAACGTGTGCCTGGCATTTCCCATTCGAAGAAAATACGTTCATAGATTCATTTTGTTTGGTATTTTTCTAACAACCTAATATATATTAAAATAATATATTATTTTTAATACGTTCTAAAATTTCGTCTTTATCCGCAAAAAATAAAAGAATTTAAAGGTCTTTAAAATGAAGAACAAAATTCATATTAATTTCTTTTCATAGTTTTAAATTTGAGCACAAATTGGAGGAAAAGAAACACTGAATATTTGTTCATAATACAAAACAATAATAACTCAACATTGGTACAGGAAGTTTTGCGTCAGAAACTGGATAAGAAGATAGGTTACAGCGTTCAGTACGTATTTTTGAACGACAAGTACTTAGTGATTTTAACTCTTTACAGTCGGAGGCAGTGATAAATCCTTACAATTATTAACTTACCTTACATACAGACTTTCAAGCCAAAATGGCCAACATTGCTCTGAACGAAGCTGATGATGCAGGCAGGAACTGTTCAGCAGAAATAAATTTGTACAACAGCAGTTTAGGCATCACGCTGGCTGTTCCGGATTGGGAAGCCGTCACCACAGGCCTTATCCTAACTTTGGTGATCATGATGATTCTAATAGGAAACATACTTATTATTCTTAGTATCTTCAAACATAAAGCACTGCGAAACGCCCAGAACTTCTTCCTAGTATCTCTGGCAGTTGCTGATCTAACAGTCGCTGTGTTTGTATTACCCTTCAGTGTAATATATCAAATTGTGGGGCGTTGGAAATTCGGAATAAACTTATGTAAAATGTGGTTAACTTTTGATGTGCTGTGTTGTACTGCTTCGATACTGCATTTGTGTGTTATAGCTTTAGACAGGTATTGGGCAATAACAGATCCACTGAACTACGCACGGAAAAGAACCCACAAACGTGTTCTTGTTATGATTGGAGGTGTGTGGGTGCTTTCAATTGCAATCAGTTCCCCTCCACTCATTGGTTGGAATGACTGGGAATCAGTTCTACGTAATGGCACTGTGTGTGAGTTGACTATTGAACAAGGATACATCGTGTATTCCTCTCTCGGGTCCTTCTTCATTCCTCTGTTTATCATGAGCCTTGTTTATGCTGAAATCTTCATAGCAACGAAAAGGAGATTAAGACAAAGAGCCAAAGCATCGAAATTGAGTGCCGTTACATGGAACAGACACCCGAATTCTCCACGTGAACAGGATTCTACTAGCAGTGATACAAATCAAAACAATCACTTCCACATGACTGAAGAAAGAATTAAGGAGAATACAAACAAATCAAAAAAGAAAAAGGATAATGATGGGTGTTCGAAAGAGAAACATCGTAAGAAATCTCTTGTGACAGAAGAGTCTATTACAGATAATGATGAAAATCCTCAGCTAGGATCTCAGTGTCTTAAGGATTTGCATAATAGTAATGAAGAAGGCCCTAACCCGCCGTCTAGCAGGACAACGACAGCAAGAACAGGACCAGAGATGTCCACGCCTGCTACTGTGCGCGGCTCAGCCATCTTCCCATCCTCCAGCACGAGGAAACACGCTCCGGTAAATCTATTCATGCAAGTGAAACAGAGGATTTCGCTGTCGAAAGAACGGCGCGCCGCAAGAACACTGGGGATTATCATGGGTGTGTTCGTGGTATGCTGGTTGCCGTTCTTCCTCATGTACGTCATTGTACCATTTTGTGTTTCCTGTTGTCCGTCTGACAAGTTAAAACACTTCATGACGTGGTTAGGATACATAAACTCGGCCCTAAACCCCATTATCTACACTATATTCAATATGGATTTTAGAAGGGCTTTCAAGAAATTACTTCACATAAAATAATAGCACTTATGAATTAAGAAAGTAATGTTTTCGTGGGACGTGCCATAACTCAGGCGGTTAGTCGCCGGCTTCCTACCGAGGCGGCCCGGGTTTGAGCCAAGGTCAGGTAATGTGGGATTTGTGGTGGACAAGGTAGCGCTGGGGCAGGTTTTATTCGAGTACTTCGGTTTCCTCTTGGTCATCTTTTCATTTTCCTTCACTACCTACTCACGTGGTAGCGTAGTTGATTGAGGCATTATACTACAAGCCGGAAGGTCGCGGATTCGATTCCAGATGAGGTCATTTGATTTTTCAATTGGCATAGTCCTTCCAGCCGCACTATGGCCCTGGGGTCGACTCAGCCTCTGACAGAAATGAGTACCATGAATCTTCCTGGGGGTAAAGGGCAGGCGGCGCGTGAGGCTGACAACCTCACTGCCATCTGTAAGCCGATTGCCTAGAAAATGTGGGAGCCTCGACGTATCTCAACCCTATGGGCCTCCATGGCCTGTTACAGGGAAGAGCTTGCACGAGCAATGTGTCTGTGTCGAGAAAAAACGCTGATGGCTCGCTTAACTCTTCATCCACAGCAAGACTGTGTAACATAGCCGGCTTGGAAGAGGGAAGACTAGTATAAGCTCAGTTGTCAATCTTCCAGATTAACTAGCTAAATAACTATCTGCCTATGTACCTAGCTGACCAACCAATCGTATGAGACTCCGAAATATTCATTATCAAATTCACAGGATAGAGCTACTTGTCTATAACCTGAGTCAGATGAATCCAATTCATATTCTCGTATGCTGTGTCTTTAAGATTCATTTTGATATTCTGCCATCTACGTCTAATTGCTCCAAGTGGCTCTTGACTTCAGTTTCTCCAACTGAAGCTTTGTGTGCATTCCCTCTTATCTCTTACTCGTTTGGAAGTTCTGAAAATGGCAAAGTTTGTCGTGTGACATGGCGTCATAAGCTATGTGAAGTGTATAGACTCTTTCACTGGCTTCAGAAGCTCTGGTCTTGGTGTTCTTCATAATATTATGGAATCTCCAGCTTCCATGAAGATTTGTGTTGCAGTAGAGGTTAGATTATGCACGTCATTAAACTTAGCACTACGTGGAGGTGAATGGTCAGCTTCATGTTGCGGCTGTCTTACACCCGGGAAATAACATTTGCCCACTGGAAAAGTCGCTAGATGGGTCTAATCGCGGTGGCGAAGAGTGAAGTCCCTACCTCTGTCGGGAATTGAATCTGTCATCCAGTCTTTATCCAATAAATTTATTGATTTCAATGCCGCAACTATTTATGATGTTATTAATATGTAAAAACTGTATTAAGTCAGACAATTGAACTCTGTTACGTGTTACATATTTCAGTGACACATGTCCAATTCGATTCCCGTACACCTCGAGGCTGTGTGCGTCCGAATCATGCGCCTGCGCAGATGAAGGATTTATGAGAATAAAGTTGTTCGCACTATATTATGCAATATACAAGCGTATAAAGCTGGTACAAAATGGCTTCGTGAGAAATGTGTCATTTATTGACTTACTATAATGAGTTTATATGTGTTGAAATATTACGTAAGAATTGTAATATGTATTTTTACAAGATGCAGCAGGTTTTACTGAAGGAGTACCTCTCTGTAAGTAATTGTTCATTGCAAGATTTTTAAACTCTCGTAGAATATTTAAGGAGAAGGAACCTCTATTTTTGCTGCAGTCCTCACTAATCTGTCTCTCGAGTTTTAATGCAGATTTCTAAATATCTCTAAAAGTTATAATATTAATTAATATTAAATTATATCACGTATTAATACAACCTCTTTATAAAAGTACCATATCCATATGCTACAGCGCCTATAACATTTGTGTGAAGAGCTTCTTAGTAGAATAATCGAGCTATGTCAGTAATTATTATTTCTGTGAAATTATGTTTCCTTATGTAAGTATGTACAATTGCGACATAATGGGGATACAACGGCGCATGCCTCATTATGAGTCTGTTGATATAAAACACAGAATTTTATATCAAATATGGATATAAAAGACCATAAAATGAGAAGAGAGAACTCAAGAAAAGAGTATGTTTCTATCGTTCACCATGTCAGTTGTTTAAAATGCCCCTTTCATGATAAATAATAAGGGAACGTGAGAAGTATTTTATAGATAAACTGTTGCGGAATTCCTGTTCCGTGCACTGCAAGTAATATTTGCGTTGTAATATGCACCTAACGTAACTACCAACTCGTAAGATGTCACAAAACGACGTTACACTAAAGAAATACAACTTCTAATAGGAATAAAATCTACAGGAATTACAGCAGTGAATTCCCCGACATTTGTACACTGGTACATAAAGCTTAGTATAAACGTCAGAGTTTATTTATAATTTTAGGTCATATAAATTCACAAATTCCGTATTTAAATTGATTAATTATGCAGTTCTTTTGCCTGTATTTTTACTCTATTATATCCTAATATAGCACTTCACTATTAATATAACACGTAGCACAGTCAATAATTTCGTTTATTGGCCTCATAGCGACGTAGTTATGCGCTATAGCGGATACGTGGAACCACGAGGTGGTGCCGTGTCCGTTCATCTCTCTTTCCAGCAAGAAGCAGTTGCGTGAGTGCGGTGTATTCGAAAAGAGAGTCACTGTTGTGAAGCGTAGTTGTCTGCGAGCGGCGGAGATTGAGAATGTAGCAGTCTGAGCAACGGACAAACGCTAATTTCTGCTTAAAATTAGGCAAATCCGCAAGTAGAGTGTTTCAGATGATCAAGCAAGCGTACGGCGAAGAAGTCTTGGGCCATAGTGCTGTGTTTATAGTGGCACAAAAGTTTTGCACAGGAGGAGAGACAGACCGCTAGGCCAAGAACGGTCAGAGCTGAACTCAAGATCCAAGAAGTTACAACGTTGGTGTGTGCCAGCCTCTCCCAAACGGTATGAACTTGCAAGCAACAACAGGAGCAGCAGCAGCAGGGATTAGCCATGGCACTTGCCACAAAATTCTGTCTGATGACCTGCACATGTCTCGTGTTGCCCAGCTCAGTGTTCCACGCGTCCTGACGCAAAACAAAAGTGACAATCGCATGGGCACTTGCGGTGATCTGATCAGTAGCGGCCAACGGCGACTATTTTGAGAGAGGATGTGGATATGTGAACGTGTATGTGAGTATCTTGTAATACGGTGCGACACAACCACAACCCACAGAATTATTGACTGTACTATATTATGTTTTATATATCGTTTCAAATTGCATTACAGTGGTATTTGTTCTTTTATAAAGTACTCCTTTGTACATATACATTATCCAGTCATGTTATAAATATATTTATATTAAGCTTGGTGTAACTTTTATAATGTTTAATATGAAACAATGTAAGCTTTGCTGTAACGGGAAAGTTCTTCTTGCAGTTACCATAAAAATAAAATGTTTTGAACAGCACAATTTCATTCTAAATACAGATAAACTTCACTTCATATGGATACACAAGTTATAATTTTAAAAATTTTAGAAGTGAAAGAAGAGGGTATGAAACACTGTGTTTAAATGACAATTCAACTGTACCTTGCCCCCCTACTGCACAACCAAAGGATGTGACACCACACTGACCGGAAGTTATGTATCTCAGCAGTGTATGGTCGCTCCCTACGTCAACTGTCATAGCAGATATCGGAAACACTGGTTTTTAAACCATCTTTGAATAACTGACTGACTGACAGACTAATGAATGACTGGGAAGACAAATTTAAAATACCAAGTTGACATTTGCAAAAATCTTCGAATTTGTATCACAACAAGCAGCGTAGTGTTTGGCAATCATCATCATCGGCAGCTGTAAGGATTAGGCATGTTGGCCTGTTCTGATTATCTGACTAGACAAATTGATCCATCCATCTCTTTGGTAGTTGTTATCTCCTTACCTCTTCCTCCTTCAAGATTATAGTCAAACAACATTCGAGGGATTCTGTTAGTTATCATTCTTGAAACATATTATTAGAAATAATTCTGGTGCTATTTATTTAATAATTCTACTTTATATCTTTTGGCTCCCGAGTTAGAATTACGGTAATATTATCGTGTAACCTAACTGAGAAATGTGTTTGTCTTCTTCAGTGCTTCCATGCAAATTACGACATAGCCTCTCAACCATACATTTATAGCTTGCACCCTGAGGTCTGCGTACTGTGAGTCTGTAAATTTCCCCGCTAGGTACCAATAAATAACACAGATTCATCAACTCTGATTAATGACCGCATGTAGTTCTGTAGTGTTTGTGTTGTGATGTCTGCTTCCACGGCCGGAGATGACAGTGGTCCTTGTCATGTTGATTTGGCAAGCAGGACACGGGTGAGTACAGGTTGTTACCGGCGCTGTTCACACATCAATGACGCAAGTTCATTAATTTAATTTAATGATGCTGTATCCTGCTCAAACTCAGAAAAAATAAGTACCCACCGTACCTTAATAAAACATCAGTAGGTAACTGGATTTTGCAATTTCCCGTTCTGCCCGCAGAGTATTACAGAATGATGCCCTCGCCAAAGATGGTACCAGTAGAACATGGAGCAGTAAACAAACTTAGTATTTAATTAATTTATTAAAATACTATAGAGTTTCCAATATTTTATTAACATAACCGATTACTTCAGCGGTAAATAAGCTGATTTTTATCTAGAATCATCGGATATTCTGGCTAAGGACCAACTCCATAGAGCAAAGACCTTCTGGAGAAGCTAACAGCTGCTCAGCTGGTCAAGAAATTACCCGCATTTTATTTCACCCAAAAGCTGATTACAAATAATTATTTTCATATGGGGTGTGATCCCAAATAATCTGCCAAATATTTGCCGACGTTTCAGAGGAACATATTCCCTCCATAATGTAATACTACGCTAAGTGTGTGACACATTAATAGTAACTGAAATCATGACCTGAAGAAGGCACATATGCCGAAACATGTCATACCATACAGCAACCTCATCTGCTGAAAACGTTGTGTTGACGGGTAATGAAAGTTATGCACAGTAATTTAGGTTGCAACAAGATATGAGACCTAGGACCTTGATGTCACTATCTAAGTAGGACTACTGTCTGACTCCCTGTATTTTCACTCCTGTTTCTCAGGTTCGGATGTATTCAAAGAATTACATTTTATGCATATAGGACCTGATGTTCTTCCAGCGATTGGTATGAAGATTTCTATCTTCTGGGATATAACGTCGTGTAGTCCGCTGAAAGTCTACTGATGTTTCGGAGCAACATGTTACTTCCATCTTCAGGATAGGAGCACAAACCTAACAAGAAACCAGAGTTAAAGTAGATGGGAGGCATAACTTATTCTTCGAGCTGGAGATGTTATATCACAGAAGATAGAATTATTTTTATGTAATTTATGTCCTTCCGTAAGGAAAATAAACCACGTATGTTTTTGAACTTAATAATACAATTACTTTCTCCGATTAGGTATTCTTATGGCGCCATCATAAATGAAGTTTATATTTGTTATTGTAGATACTACATGCTGAAAAGCCGGTTTGAGGTTTACGTAACTGTGTTCCCGGATGGCTTTCCAGAGAGAGAGAGAGAGAGAAATCATGATCTTGTCTTGGAAATGTTTCTTGCCGACGAAACAGAGGGAAACAGCATGAAAAAGCGTAAAAGAAAATGGCAGTTTACTTACGTTTGTGCCACTTTCGGTTCCAGCTGCAAATGCTGAAGGAACTGGACATATAAATTCTTGGTGCACGCCTTCTAAGCTTTGCTAACACGTTCTGGCTCGTATCCCAGATTTTGGAAACCTTATTTACATGTCTAGATACAAATATATATATATATAGACAGCTGTGTCCCTGGTGCAGCTGCGAAAATCAAAACATCAACAGAA